AAGGATTGGTTTTTACGACCCTTTCAGGGCCTTATTCAGTGATGATTTTGACTGCAGGAGTGAGCCAGCTTTGAGGGCAAAGCTTTTTAAAGAAGGGGGCCTGATATGATCCCATTTAGCTTACTGTTGAAGCTCAAATTAAACTCCCAAGGATCAATCAACGTTGGAAGGAAAATGGAAGAATTTGGCCAAGTGTTTGGATCATTTCATGGTGCCTACTTTACGGGTTCGTTTCTTACATACCGGTTGATGGAGTCACAGGGAAAGGGTGTATAATTGAACTTTAAATGTTTCTCTATACGTTTGAAGCATTTTCCAAGCAAGATCGATTGAGAGTCATTTTCAGGAGTCCCAAGTTGCTATGGTGAAACTGGAAGATTGGCTGTTTTTGGCTAAGTCTGGAACATGTGTGAGATATCAACTTTGGAGGCTTAGTAAATGCAACTGGGGCATCATCGATGGAAAGGGGAAGTTGGAACTTGTACTAAAAGTTAGGATTTTGTTTCCTTTTCAAGTTAGGATTTTGTTTCCTTGTTCAATTAGAGTTAGAACTCACTCTTCCATGTTTGTGTAGTGTTAATTAACGTAGCCAAGAGCTTATTTAAAGGGGTTGAAAGCCTCGTGTAAGAGTAGAGTGGATTGAATACAAAAGTTGTGACTTTGTCACCCAATTTCTTGTGTGTTGGTCGAGTTCCAGTAGCAAGCTTGTTTCGTATCGATTGAAACCACATCAATCGTGGCCGAGCTTCGACTCAAACCAATCGAGCCTCTTCCCTAGTGTGAAGTTGCACCTTTGGTCCGTTTTATTTTCGTTTTAAGTTGATTGCATTCAAGTTTCGTTGGGAGAGAGTTGAGCTGTGCACTTTGATTCCCTACGAGCACAAATGTGCTCGTATCAGTGATGCTCCACTTCAGTTCATGGAAAAGCAAGTAACCAACATTGAATATGACTAGGTGTCAGAGACGATTGCAATAGTGGGATGACATCCCCAGCGGTGACGATAAGTACTGAAGCATCTGGCATCATCACACCACTCTGCCAACTATGACGGAGAACCAAGAGTCCATGCTAGCTACTTTGGTTGGACACATGCAGTATACAACCCTCCAACTTGTTTCTTTAATCCAACATTGTGATTATGTTGAGTCTTGAGTGTATAAGAGGTTCGGTTTGTTTTCGTTGAAGTGTTTAATAAAGATATGAATGATTTTGATGAGTTTAGAACATTTTTTTACCGCACCAATTGTGCAAATGATTCATTTTTCACTATATGACACAACTTCAACACCAACAATATTGGAAATACCAACTCTTCTTCCTTTGGTGGTTGAAGCTTGTCGCCTCGAGTGGCAAGCCAAACACACCTCACCATGTGAATTGTGACAAGATTCACACCACTATTCAGGTGGAGGGATTGCTCAATGTGGTTGTTGGAGAACTATCAATACATGGAAAATTTTCCATCGATGTGTAAAACACTCCTTTTTAAACAACCATCAATAAAAGGTGTTGGTCAACCACCCATAAAGTTGGCAAGGCTCTACATCGATCCTGCCAAGGAGGAGGAGGTTGCAGATCGAATTTCTCTCTACGATTGCCTAACATCAAAGTCACCCGAGTTCAACAGGTAAGATGTGGATCCCGTCGGGTTCATGATATCCGAGGGAAACAAGGTGACGTTATGCCAATAGTACAATAAGGGACCATGTGACCCAACTCCTTACCTAATAGTTTGGCTTGGGAGCAAGACCCACCACTCCATCTTTGTACCACCTTAAATGGGTGGATATACTCTATTCATTCCCAAGAGGTTTTAGGGTGCCCGAATCCACCTTCATCATAGGGATGACTAACCAGTCCAGTATGGAGAAAATTAGGTGCTTCATTGTCCAATGTGGTGACGTGGGTGGCTTCACCAAGTTTAGATTAGTTGACACTTTATTAACAGGATCAACCTTTAATTGGCATGTCAAACTGTCATCCAACCAGACATATACTTGACAACAAATGGAACATATGTTTCCAGCCGAATCATTATTAATCAGTGTCAATTTCAAGTTAAACATCGACAAATTACCACTGTAAACTGCCAATCACTATTTTAAACTCCAAAATCACTTCTAAATAATCATAAACTTATCTCTAAAAAACCCATCAAATTTTAACTAAATATTGCCAAATCAATGCTATGAATAGTCAAATAATTCACTGGATCTACCATGATAAGACTACGATAATTTTCGGTGGTGGCGGTAATAGTATTAGCTCTGGCAATGAAAACTTCAATTCCTCTTAGGCATACGATCACTATTTTGGTCTCGATTTAAATTATCATATTTTTTTTTACTTTCCATAATACTCTTTCTGTCTCACCCATTCGATTAATTTTTTTTTTTTTGCAAAACATGAATGATACCGCTAAAATCTTAGTTTTCTTAGTGACAACTCTTATAGGAATTGTCACCGTATCTACTAAAATTTATGGTTTTTATAATGGAAAAAAATAATCAACCACGAATGTAAAACAAAGTTGTAAATTCAGTGACCAATCATACAATTTAGCCTCATTTGTTTTATTGTGGAAAAGGTCTCCATTATCTATAATTTTTAAATTCCTTTCTAAGAAGCTATTGAACGTTTTTTCCTTGTCGTATTAGACTATTAGTTACTTAATTTTAGGACTAATGTTCTGTGAACTATGATAAAAGAGGGTCCAGATCGGATCATTAACTGATGGGTCAGTAACCCATCAGTAATCCCTTCTATGGTCCCCACGCGTCAGACACTTTTTTATTTAAATTAAATGTGAAAAGGGCAGTACAGTAAAATTGCACTTTCTCCTATTTATTGCTGATACTGACTTTTGACCGTACCACATCAGCGCCTCCTTCTCTCCTCGCAAAACATTAATTTTCCTTTCCTTAATCTTTAACGGACGATTTCTCACTCGTTTTAAGTCGAAAATTAATTTTTTTTGCACAGTTAGATCAGATTAATTGTGCTCTTCAAAATGATATCCACTTTGATATTTTTTGGACACAAAATTTTTTTTTCAGTTATTACCAGTCTATACCATATGGTATTGACTGTACCATATGGTATTGACTGGTATTAAATAAGAGCATACCATATGGTATGAAATTTTTTGCCACATGAATATATATTTTGTTACTACCATATGGTATAGTGTGGTAATATCAATATATATTTCGTTACCACCCAATACCATATGGTATAGTGTGGTAATATCAATATATATTTCGTTACCACCCAATACCATATGGTATAGAGTGGTAATACCATATGGTATAGAGTAGTAATACTAATATATATTTCGTTACCACCCAATACCATATGGTATAGTGTGGTAATATCAATATTTATTTCGTTACCACCCAATACCATATGGTATAGAGTGATAATACCAATATATATTTCGTTATCACCCAATACCATATGGTATAGTGTGGTAATATCAATATATATTTCGTTACCACCCAATACCATATGGTATAGTGTGGTAATACCATATGGTATAGAGTGGTAATACCAATATATATTTCGTTACCACATAATACCATATGGTATAGTGTGGTTATAGCAATATATATTACCTAAAAGAAAGGGGGAAAAACAAAAGGAGGGAGAGAAAAAAAACTTGTCTTCTGTCTCATCTCATTTCATCCGCAACCAAAGAACACAAAAAAGGAGAAAGATCGAAATTAAAGCCAACGAGTTGATGAAGAGAAGAAACGCAATTAAAGAGGGCGACTTCAATTTTTATTAGTCGATTGCTAGAGAAAAAAATAAAGATGGAACAGAGCAGATCTAGATTTGATAAGGAAATTGTGAGAGAAAAAGTAAGAGAGAAGAAATAGAGAAAGGTTCTGGAAAGATATTGGAAAAATGAAGAGAGAAGGAAGAGAGAAAGAAGAAAATAGAGTTGCAGAGAAAATGTTATTCTTTCTCTTTCATTGAAAAGTCAACCATTGAATGCGGAATATATAAAAAAAATTAAAAATACAAAAACGAACAAAAATGCCCCTCCCCACCTCCGCGTCCAGCCAACCACCCGATTGCTCCATCCTCAGATCTACGATTCCCGTGTATTTACTGATAGGTCAGTAACCATTGGTTACCCTATCCCACACCGATAAAAGAAGACACCTACATTCTAGTAAATTTTAAGCTTTCCTTATGGAGTTAGGTTTCCTTGCCTAACTTACAATAGTCACCGTTACATATGGTTTTGGAAATTATACGACCATGCGAAAATTTACTGTTTCCGACCGTGTTATTAAAGCCGAGTCGAGCCGTTCGGCCCGACCAGTAAAACCGTCATTCGGTCACAAAATCGGCTTGAAACAGTTTAAAAGCCGTTCCGGTTTTATGAAGCGGTTGACGAGCGGCCGAGGCGGTTAACCGTCCAGTTTTTGTCATTCAGCTGTTAAATTTAATTAAAAAATTGTAGAAAATTGAAAATTGAAATAAACAAAAAACGTCAGGCTCTCAAACTGAATCCTTATTTCCATTTCACAATTTCGAGGGAAAGAGACGAGCTCTGATGAAAAAATGTCCATTATTTATACTGTTAATGTTTATTAGGTACCGGTTCCCTAACGATTTTTAAACGATCTAATGTCGGTTATACCACTAAAATGCGAGCCGTTCGCATTACCGGGTCATGTTCCGGTTCGGTTATGACAACATTAACTTTCTGGCGTAATGCCCTAAAATTAAGCGAAAATTGTTAAATTACCCTCTCCTTGGAATAATGAACTTCCAGAATCAGTCCTGTTCATCAACCTAACCAGCACGGAACCGATCTAACACGGAACCAAAGCTGTCACCTTCGTCAAGTCAGCCACTTTGTTTGAATTGGAAAAGTCAACATTATCCAACAACCCATTTGCACAGCCTGACCCGTTCCACCGCTTCACCGCCTATATATATATTCATACATCACAATCACACATTCTTCAATCACAGGGAAAACACAATGGCGCAATCCATCAAAATGATCCGTAACCCTATAGCAGCAGCAGGCCTCCTCACTCTGGCTCTCCTCGCAGTAACCTTATCAGTACTGCCGCATTTCGCCGCCGCAGAGAACTGCGGCAGACAGGCCGGGAACGCGGTGTGTCCCGGCGGGCTGTGCTGCAGCCAGTTCGGGTGGTGCGGCAACACGAGGGAGCACTGCGAGAACAATTGCCAAAGCCAATGTACAGCTCCATCCACCGGTGGTGGGGATGTAGGATCTATCATAACTCCCGCGCTTTTCGAGGAGCTGCTCAAGCACCGAAACGACGGCGCTTGCGAGGGCAGAGGATTCTACACCTACAACGCCTTCATCTCCGCCGCCAGGTCCTTCCCCGGGTTCGGCACCACCGGCGACGCCACCACCCGTAGGAAGGAGCTCGCCGCGTTCTTGGCTCAGACCTCTCACGAGACCACCGGTAAAACAAAACCACTTCGCATATGATTCTTTTGTTGAATGTAGTCAAAATCGCCGCGTTTTAAAACCTAAATGTTTACACTTTTAGGCTAATCAAAATATTTTTTATTTAAAATTATTCTTTTTTTTATATAATCTAGTCAAAATCGTGCTTTAAAAATTAAACGCTTTTATAATTCTAGATCATCAAAACGTTTTCACATAGAATCACACTTTTGACGGCATTGCTTTCAGCTACTAGATCGATATATTATATGATTTGTATAGTTGACACGAGAAATCAACAAGGATTGTGAAACTATATTGGATGTAATACTAGAAAAGTCAGTAGCATAATATTTTTTTAATACCAAAATCATAGTTTAATCGTGATTCAACCATATAATATCGCTACAATTACCTACCAATTTGAGTTTGGTACCCGACGTTCCCAATCAGACCGACACAATAGCATATATGGTTTCAGAAAACACTGGAAACAAAGTATTTGATATTTCCGTTCCGACTGACCCGATGGGATACGGTTTTTAAAATGTTGGAACCAATTGCTTGGATTTAAACATTGTAACTGAATATATATAGGAGGATGGCCAACGGCACCGGACGGTCCATTTGCATGGGGATACTGCTTCATCAGGGAGAGACAACGCCTACAATACTGTTCATCCAACCAATGGCCCTGCCCTGCCGGCAGGCAATACTACGGCAGAGGCCCCATTCAACTCACTCAGTAAGTCCCTCTCCATCCTTGATTATTTGATTAAACTTACTAACTTTTTATTAACTGTGTACGTAATTTACTACGTTATGTACAGTAACTACAACTACGGCCAAGCCGGCAGAGCAATCGGGCAGGACCTGATAAACAACCCGGACCTGGTCGCAACCAACGCCGAGATCTCGTTCCGAACGGCGATGTGGTTCTGGATGACTGCTCAGTCGAACAAGCCGTCGAGCCACAGCGTGATCGTCGGGCAGTGGACTCCGTCGGCGGCGGACAGCGCTGCGAACAGAGTCTCTGGCTACGGCGTCATCACCAACATCATCAACGGCGGCCTGGAGTGCGGGCACGGCGCCGATGATAGGGTTGCAAATCGGATTGGGTTCTACCAGAGGTACTGTTCCATTTTGGGAGTCTCCCCTGGCGGGAACCTCGACTGCGCCAATCAAAGACCATTTACTCAGTAGGGTTTTTGAGGATCCGAGTTAGACCCAAATGCCATGATGATAATTATGGGCGTGCGTAAAAAAAGCATGTAGCTCATACGTACTTAACTATAAACTGCAACTACTAGCAAGAAATATTTATAACTGAACGGTTTGTGGCTAAAAATAATAAAATAATAATAGCCTCTTCAAATTGAACTTGGGTATTGAATGATGAGGTTATGACTTGTGCGTTGTATTATTTTTCAACATCTGTTAATTATCATATGGTTTATTTTCTATAATATAAAATTAAATATTGAATGAGAACTATAACCCTATGTTGGCGTATTGGATGATGGAGTATGAATTCTCGTGGTATTATTTCTCAATATCTCTTTATCAAATTATTTATATTCTATAATAAAAAATCATATATTGAATGATCGACTATAACCTCAGTTTATGTTGCCCTTAAGAAACATAAGAGGAACAAGTCACTCCCCGCCAACGAAAAATAATGAAGTCGCGACTTCAGATTTATGATATTGTATATTTGAAGATTCGTTGATTATCTAAAATAATTAGTTAAGTATCAAACACAACCCGTGAATTTGTCGATAATCACATTAGAAACTACTTTTTCAACAATTGAATTACACGTAATTGTTGCACGATTACGTTCTTCATTAATCTTCAAAAAATAAAGAAAGAGTCTTTGACAGAACATAAAAAGAAAAAAAAAAAAAGGCCAAAAAGATAAGCTAACAAGGATTGGGTAAGACCCAAGTGGGAGGGGACTAGACAGCAATGGGGATCACCTCCATACCCTTCCAATCAGTGGCGGATCCAGAAATTTTTTGTAGGGGTGTCTTCTTTCAAAAATTAAATTAAATTAAATATTACATAAAAAAAAATATCCAATTAGTATAAATGTTCACAAAAGCCACGATGTGTTTTCAATTTCGAAAAAAATATAAGATAGATTTGGTGTGTACACTGTTCAACAAATCGGTATATCCTACTAGATCGCATATTCAATTTCTACATTGTTCATGATGTAATTCAAAGTTGAAAAGACTGTTTCAACACTTGCAGTGTAACCATAAAATGAATTCAAATTAGGGTACCCCTGGGGATAAGAAATCGTGTTTTCAACATTACATAGTGTTTAAAATACAACAACAAATGAGTTATAACCTAATGGAGAAGATGTTAAATAATAGGAGTGTCCTAGATTTGAATAACACAGAGTACCACTTATATTTTTTTAATCATGCAAACTACTATCGAGGGTAAGATAATCATTTATTAAAATTTTAGGGGTGCCCCAAATTACTAATTATATTTTGTTTATCCATACGAAACTACTATCGGAGGTTGAATAATCGTGTTCCCAAAATTTAGGGGTGTCTCTAAATCACCATGTATCCGCCACTGCTTCCAATTCATGAACACTCTGATCCTCCAACCTGAAAACTCCAACATCAAATCCTCCAAAATACCCTCTCCGCTGATGCTGATAATTATAATCCGTGTAATATATGTGGTTCCCTCGAATCCCCTCATCATTTCCAGCAGTAACAGGCACCAGAATCGGCGAGTTGGTGCCCAGAAACAATGCCCTGTCTCCCAAACTGGTAACCTTGCGGTACACAAACTTGCTCCCCATACCATCATCTGGTTAATTCTCAATCATTTTAGGTCCAGTCCAGGGGACAAATCAATAGGAAATGCTATTTGCTTTGTAAGAATAAGAATTAACTTCTATGAAATGAAACAGTTTCACGGGAATTGCCGATATCATTGAGAAATAGGAAGAAGTGTTATCGAAAGATTTTCTGCAATTCTTCCCAGTATGGAATGAGTAAAGAATCAAGCTACAAGTCTCGATATAAAGCAACTATAGGATGGAAGAAGATAGCTACGGCAATAACTCTATTTTTCAGGGGGTAAGACAAAAAATGAGAACAGACTTGTTCCTGGAATCCAACCTACTCCGTAGTCTTAACCAATACCAATTTGAAAATCTCAAATTTCGTGGTCCGATAACTGCACACTCTGCCGTAGCCCTCAACAGAAGTCCCTTTACACTTATAATACCTAACAATCATCATCAGCCCGTCGTCTCTGGATGCCGCGATGTAGAAAGCTTATGTCAATGGGAGTGCGATGATAGGGAGACTCCACGGGGATTCGTTGCGGTTGTTGTAACGAATGGAGGTCGCACTCCAAAACCATTAGCTGTCTTCCAGCATAGAACTTGCCGTCGTGGAACACCACATCTTGGAAGAAGCTGTGCTCCTCGACGGTCGAAACAGGGGACCAATTTTCATCCCCAATTCTGCAGAAGGCCAGCCTTTCGCATTGGCCGTAAATCGCCATAAACACACATGGATCGGCGGTGGTACTAGTCGACGTGGTAGAGAAGGAGGCGCATAGTCTGTGATAATTGAGGTTTCTGTTATGCTCGTGGACAATGTAGTATTCCTCGTGGAGCCTGTTGGGGTCGTGGTGGATGACATTAGGGAAGGTGGTTAAGGGAGGGAGATGGATTAGGCGTTTCGAGAGTGGATTGAGGAGTTGCAATCTCGAGCTTTCCTCGACGTACAATGACCATCCGCCGAAGGAACCTTTGCACACGGTGGGTTCAGCCTCCTTTCCTACTAGCAGATCTAGATGGTAAGGTTTCTTGTCTACTGAGCAGTAGAACCTACGGAGGGTGGATTCTTGTTTGTATGGCAGCATCAGCCATGGAATTTGGGGGCGTGTTCTTCGGTTGTTGTTGAGGCATCGTCTCCATGACTTGCACACGACTTGGAAGCGGATATGGGTTGCATAGGATGAATGCAGGCGTTGGGCGATGGAATCAACCAAATCAAACGACAGATCTGCCCAACTGGCCATTTATATGTACTTGTGGAAACCGGGTGCAGAAAAGTTATAATACACTCCTATAGTCCCTATTAAACCCTTAAAACAAATTTACCTTTTATATACAGAAGACGAACGGAATAGGAGAACAGTATTTTTTTTCAATCTTGGCACAACGAGCAATTTATATAGATCGATAGGCAACGCTAGATATAGTCGGAATAGGAATCCCTGCCTACCCTAGTCTTGTAGTAGAGAAGGTTCTTCCATCCCATGCAGTGGCGGAGGCAACATTTTAAACAACCCCTGTTCTCTTTTCATTATTTAAATATATAAGTATTTAATGAAAGAATTATTTAATAAAAAGAATTATATCCAAATAATTCATTCATAAATTAAAAATAACCGATTATACTATCATACTTTTCAGAAACAACTACGAGGAATTTCATATAGTGAAAGAAGCGCAAAAACATTCGTTGTCTACACTATTATATAAGTCTCTTTCAATGTATCTTACTAAACAAGTATTAGCAAGCTGGTCGCCAAATCGACTTGGAAACTTGTTCTTAATATAGCTCAAAGCTGAAAATTCTCTTTTTATACTTGCAGTTGTAATTGGTAGATCAAAACTAGTGGGATTGCCGTTGTCGCTAGACAATTTCAGGGTTGTTGGCGAAAGATCGAATAGGCATAAGGAGAAAAGAGACCCGATTAGTTCTTTATTGCAATTGGAATTTCGTTATTGTATAATAAATTAATTTTATGTCAATTTTAAACAAGTAATGAGTTGTGTTGCAGTGACAAAGTACTCTAATACTACCTATACGTGTTATGTTCCATCACCAATATAGATATATATGGCGTATTTTTGTTCCTTTGTCCTTTCTATGTTGGTCTCTATTATGTTGTTTTTTAACGAGTAATGTCCATCATTTCCCATCCAGCAACACCTAGTGAAGCCACTCTACAAAGTCGAAGGAAACTATCTCTACAAAGGACAACAACAAGGCTTGTCTTGCCACTCCATGGGCAACCCAGTTGACAGTCCGTGGGACTGGCCTAACAACTATACAAGAAGTACAAGAACGCAACAATTGAAAACAATCACGCAGTAAGCAGTGGCGGACCCAGGAATTTTACATAGAAGTGTACTCTTTCAAAAATAAAGTAAAATGAAAATAAAAATTAATAATTAAAGAATTTTTAAATAAGAAAATACTCAACTCGTACAAGTTAAAATAAAGTCCATGATGTATTTTCATATTCTAAAAATATTGTAAAATTCATTTGGTGTTTACATTGCTCTACAAATTTTTCTTGGTACATCCTACTAGACAATCATTCACGAACTGACACATATTCGACTTCTAAATCTTTTCTTGATGTAACTCAAAGCTGGAAAGACACTTTCAACACTTGTCATACAACCATAAAATCAATACAAATTAAGGGTAGCTTGTAATAAGATTAATTATTAGGTTTTGAAGATAATTAAAGATAGATAATAGGATTTTGCTATTACACAGTGTTTAGAATATAACAACAAAAAATTTGTAGCCTAATGGAAATTATATTTATTAATAATACTAATGTCCCGGGTTTGAATTATCCAAACTATCACTTTTATTTCCATACGCAAACTACAAACGAGAGTAGGATACTCGTTTTTTTTTTAAATTCCAGGGTGTCGTGGATTATTAATTATAATATTTTTGTCCATACGTAAATTACCACCGGGGGTTGGATAATCCATTTTCCAAATTTTAGGGCCCCTGGGTCCATCCCTAGCAGTAAGGGACCGCCCACCGAATCTTCAACACAGTTACCGTCAAGCTGCCGAATGACCACTTCAGAATCTCCTTCAATAATAACTCGACGAAGGCTTCGAGATAGCACTAGAGATATGGCATCCCTGGCAGCAAGCAACTCTGCAAGGTAGGGGTTCGACACTCCTAGATGGTGGAACCCCATGGCCAAGGAAAGTTGCCCATATGTCCTTGGAATGACAAGACCATACGAGCATCCCGAATCACAAACGACGACATCAAAGTTGATCTTGATAAATCCTCCGGGAGAGCAAACACAAATGGCAAGACGAGAGGGCGTGAGACGAGGCGGCGAATCCTCGGACTGAAGGGAGGGTGAGGAGAACTCATGAACTTGGAAAAAGAATTTAAGGGCAAGAGAAATGGCTAGTGGTTGAGTAAATTAAAAAAACCACTTTATTTTGAGATTTCCATATTCTCCAAATAAGACAAACGCATGAGAGAATGTTGCTTTGGAAGTTTACTGAAGCCATAACATGTCGTGACCAAATACCAAAATTTTCAGTAGGGGCGGAGAAAAGCAAACCACTTAATCTCACAAGAGTCCAGGGATGAAGAGTAAGTGGACAATGGAAGAAGATAGGTTCAATACTCTCTTAACTATCCCATTAGACTAGGCAGCGAACAAGGCAGGTAATTCCACGAGATTTAAGGGCCACCATTGTTGGCAAAAATGCTTTCAAGCACTACCAAAGAAGAAACTTTAACTTTGGTGGGATGTCAAAACCATATGTTCTATTATATGCGCTATGGATTTACAACTAGGCATCAAAATATTTTCGAAAGCAAGATGGTAGCCCGTTTAACTGAATAAGGACCATATTTTGTGTAAAGCCAGACTCTTTATCTTGAAAGTGCATTACTAGGAACATATATCTAACTACAAATCAATCTCTATTCATGAATGACAATAAAGCGGGTTTGTGGCGTGTTTGTCTAAACCATCTCCATCTCCGTTTTTAAATATCCACATCCATACCCAGACCATACCCATGCGGGAAGGTTTTGCAAACCCATCCCCATACATGTGATTTTTGAGTATCCGTGGGTAATATCCTTCCCGTACGTCCAACAATATTATATTCATAATTTTACATGTAAATTTTTAATAAAACACTAAACGAACCTACTATATCATGGAGTCAACAAATATAAAATGATTCTAAACACTATTCAAAGCAACTAGTCCTAAAACATCGATTAATCCAAAAGATAGAGTATATTATTTTCCAAATCATTATTCTTTGATTTTGATACATATGCTATGCAATAAATAACTAACATATTTTTGTTAAGAAGAGGGAAAAGTGAAAGAGTGAAGCCAGAATTGAGGAAACAAAATTAGGTTTTGGCGTCCACTGAATTGTATTTCTAATACTTATTATTTTGAATTACCCTCACTATTATTGACATGTTACAATCTCATCTATGGATTTTTCATATGTGAAGAAATGATCTTGGTGGGCGCGTATGACTATGTGATTGTGGTGGAGGCGAAAATCATACCCGACCCATACCCATCAAACTTTTTACGAATTTTATCCAAACCCCTCATACCCAGTCAATGCGGGAATTCGTCGCATTAACAAATCGGGAGTGACCGCATACCCAAGGTCATGTATTTGATTTTCATCCCTATATGAGATCATAAGATACAATATGTTAATTTCCCATCTCTCTTCTTTTTTGCTTTAATCTTAGAGAGAAAACCTTCTTGACTAGACAAAATCTATTTTTACTAACATAATAGTTTTCTCAAACATGTCATATCATATTTTGACAATGAGTTATTTTTTTCTTTTATGAAATTATTCCTTACTCTTTATATTATAATATATTATTTCTTATTTTTATACTATAAAATATTTTCAATAATTATGGTGGATTGAAAGGTAAATCAAAGTATGTTAGACTAATGTGGATATAGTGGATTAACCGCTGTTGTTAGCCACTAACCATAAAAGTAAGGATTTTACTAATCACACCCAACTCAATACTCTCAAATTATAGGTATGGTGACTGACAATGTGTACAGTTTGATGCGGTTTACGAGTTATTCACAAAATGAAAATCAAACTCTCAATACCCATGTCAAATATATAACTATCCAGCCAAACAAATATGAAATCAATTAACACACAAACAATGCAATCACAAATAATGAATTATTTGAAATCAAATACCACACGTCAAAAAATAATCCGACGGTCAGTTAGTTTGTGTACATTGTCTGATTTGTATATTATGTTAATCTGGTTTGTATATAACATCACTCCTATTTGTAAATAGTGTAATTTGGTTTCTAATTTCATATGCACTTTTCGGTCATGTTTGTATGCTTTGTCCTTATGGTTTGTATAATTTGTCATATTGGTTTGTGTATTATGTAAAGTTAATTAATTTGTATAACTGTGATATGGTTTGTATGCTTTTCTAATCTACTTGTACACTTTTAAATTGGTTTGTAATTGTATACTATGTAAAGGTTGTTTGTATAGTTATGATATGGTTTGTATACTTTTCTATATTGTTTGTAAACTTTCCTATTTGGTTTGTATTTTAAGTAAAGTTAGTTTGTATATTTTTCTAATATGGTTTGTTCACTTTAGAATATGATTTTATACTTTTTTTCTTATGGTTTGTATATATGCTACGTAACATTGGTTTATAGTAGTGATATGTATTATACACTTTAGGTTTAATACCAATAAAAGACCCGTGTACTTCTCCCCAGTTGGAGGTGACCAAGTTATTGAGGCTTTAGCTAATGCCAATTATGCAGAATGTTCTGATATCAGACGATCGACCTCAGGCTGGTGTATTCTCTTTGGTCAATTTTTTGTTTCACGGAGATAGGATTTCCAGAAAAGTAGTGGCGATTCGACAGACGAACCGATTAAAGTCCAAATTGCTTTATTTTCTTCTACTTCATCTTCTCTCTTTCTTCGATGGGTTTTCAGAATCGAGGGTTGAGGTAGATGCCTATATGAGAATTCAAGGGTCGGTTAAGTCCAAGTGAGTTGGATTGTTTGATTAAGTGCAATTTTTTATTAATAATTTTGGTGATGTGGAGTGCTGATTCGACTAAATTAACAGAGTTTTGAATGGAGAAGGATAGAATACCGATTTGTTATACGTCCAAAGGTGTATTTTCGAATCGTGCAAAAATAAAAGTTTGTGACCATATTGTATAAGGTGCAAAGATTTGAGACAATTTATACTAATTATACTCATTTTACCATGAGAGTGCAATGAGTTGGCAAAATATACCCAACATATCCACTAAAATATTCAAAGAATCTAATCTATTAAATTGTTGAAAAATA